GAAATTATTAAACATCGATAGACTGATCCGATAACCGATATTAAAGAATATTAAATATAACAGGCACGCGGGTCAGTGACTGGAGAAGAAAACAATGAACTATCGCGTCACAATACCCGCAAGATGGTAGACGTTAGTACTTCTTGCCAGCATAAAAAACGGTTGAACCATTGCCCTTATCTAAAAATAAAATAATAAATTATTTTATATGGACAAGAAATCTAATGTCTTTCGTACACATAATTCTATAATAACTAGAATTGTGGAAAATCGCCCGAGCAGATAGATTTACGTATGGTATAAAACAAAAGTAATGAACTGGCGGCCCACAGGAAATGGTAAGGGTTAAGGGCCGTGCCCCTACTTTTTGGATCAGTAGGGTGAACCGTTCTATCGAACAGTATCGATTTCACTGCGGCGAGAACAGAATGGAAACCAATTTTTATAGTGAGAGAATAAGCAGACTGAGTGTTCAGCTCGACGGCAAGAAACTTGCAGGTTATAAATACACGCTTCTTATTTTTTTCTGCTTCGCTGAGCAGTCTCCATCTACTAAACTCTGAAAATCGCAATCGAATTCTGTAATTACCACTACATTCATGTATATTCATATTTGTTTACGCCAGTCGATTGCAGCCATAGTTTTAGTAACATCAGTTAATATATGTGAATGTAGTGATAATTGGAGAAAGAGCAGTTCAGTTGTAATCGTTATAGTCTAGCAAGTATGAAAGGGACCACTCAGGAAAAGGGAAGAAGCCCGAAGTCAATATGTGACCCATGGACCACTATTTCGCATGCTAGGTTAAGTTATTGTTAGGAGTTTAGGAAGAAGTCACGTGAAAGGAATATGAATCTGATTAATTGTTTCGGATACAAGCTTAAAAGGAAATTTATTAGCCTTACAAACAAGAGCGTGTAGTATAATTTGTTGATGAATGATGGAAAATTTCTGTTGTCTTTCGAGACTTTTCAGTTCTCAACAATATTTTATAATTATGTATTTTATAATTATGTATTTATAAGATAAGATGATATCGGATTTTATATTTAGGGAATTAAAAAATATTTTACATCCTATTCAAATGCATAATAAAACTACAAGAAAATAATCCTACATAAGTAACTCTCGTATTGATTTTTTTTCAAAGATGTTGATTCATCTAACAAATGGAAATCTAAATATGCTCCCATATAGTTTCGTCGTACACAAATGACATAAGTATTGCTCCTAGATAATCAGAATTTTGTTCTAACAGGCGTTTTTGGTCATGCCTGAGCAAATGAGCTGTTCAAACGTGATTCAAGTAACTTTTAACCTGTTGTTAATATCATCTACTTCCTTTGTATATTTCATGAATAGATAATTCTATTTAAAATATCGAAGAAATGGAAATAACCAAAATATATAAACAGATTGATTCTGGTATTATCCAGCTTAACAAAGCTTCAATGCAACTTCGTTCCTTCTTGGATATTTGTAAGCCTTAGTAGCTACGAAGCAATCCCAAATCATTTGCGCTATAGTATAGTGATCATTGAGATTCATTTTCGTGGATTGAATCGCATTGCTTTTAAAACAAAATACGAATACATCCAGGAGTGAATAAAAAAGTTTAACATGCCGTTCCATCTGGTACACGATATTGTCTCTACGTAATATAACCACGAGTAAAGAAAAACTGTTACGTAACGACATTAATGTAAAAATAGTATTGTAATGTAAAAATAGTATTAATATGTTAATAAAAATATAAAGTTATATGTTTTTTTTAATTCTTCTTTATCCTATAACATAATGGAATAAGAATCTCATTCTATTTGAAAAATACAAGATGATCTATTTTCCTTGATTCCTATTTTTCTCCACTTATTTTTTTACAATTACCGGTGAGTTTGTAAATTAATTACTTCCTCACTGATCTTGACGATTCCTAAATATATTACAGGGATCGATATTCTGAACAATACTTCCCTCTAACAAAGTCTCTGTTAGACGAAAATACTGTTCAAAATGTCGATCTCCATATATTCAGAAATCATCGAAATTGACGAAGGAGCAGAAAATCTATAAGTTATAATTAGAGTGAATTAAAAGGACACAGGCAAGTGTTTAGATTACCTGGTGAATTGCTAAAAGCAATTTATCTAAAGCAATTGCTAAAAGCAATATTTCTGTTACAGATCTATGCGTCGACTTGATGAAATTAACTTGGTTAAACTAGAGAAATAGGTGAGTTACAAAAATGTTCTGTTTTTGTATGTGTTTGAATCCACCTAGACTCAATCAAAATTATTCAATTTGACCCGAAGTATCGACCATATGCATCCGAATCATTTGGGCAAATTTTTATTTAAATAATAAATAATAAACAATAATTAAATGTATAATTTTTATTTAAATGAAATTCATTTAAATAATATTGATATTGTAATTTAATTCACACTTTTGATTTTTAAAATCAAAAGTGATTTAGATTGAAGTAGATTTTAAAAATTCTTATTTCATATTTAAATTAGATAAAACAACAATAATTGTTTAATTTCTCATATCCGTTATATTGAATATAAAAATACCAAATAAAATAGTTATGCAAATGATATCGTCGCTTTTTATAATCGCTAAATATAATTTGCCCGATAGAAATATAAATATTGCGTTTAAAAACTGTTATATAGATGTAATAGTAAATGTTAAGGCCAATGTACTATTAATAACATGAAGCTAATTAAAAACAATTAAAAATAATTATTTATTGAAAATCCTGTTCTTAATTTTGAATTTAAAACATATTTTTATTTCAATTACCAAGTTAGATCGTATAAAATAGTACCTTTATAAGTAAAATAATTTTCCTAATAGGAAATTATTTTCCTAAAGGAATCTTTATTCAATTTATTTAACAAGCGTATACGATATTACAAGCAGATCATTTCTTTAAACGAATTTTTTCCTGACAAATAGATCAGTACTAGATATAATAAAATCCTCTCAAAATACACTTTACCAAATATATTTTAAATAGGAAATCTGAAACCTATGTCCCTTTCAACATTGTTAGAAATTCATTACGCTATGAATCGTTTTAAGATTTGGTTAAGAACCAAAATTCTTGAACCAAATTTCGGTCAAGTATAGAAAAACATAGAAAAATATAGAAAATATAGTCAAAGTATAGAAAAACATATAAGCGCGGCAAAAAGAGACCACGTAACATTTTTACGTCAAAAAGTTATCGAAAAATCTTATCTCGCTTGCTTAATAAATTTCTGTGAAATTATAAAATAGTTAACAATTAATGAATCTGGATCTCAAATTTATTGTACATCATTTTAGTAATGGCTACAAATATTGTAGCCATTAACCTTAACTCAGACTCAGATTTAATTAACTATGACGTTACTTGACGTCTAACTAATTTATAATGCAATTTTAGATATTTTTCAACAATAAATAATATCATACATGAATCATTGAGTTCATTTCAACAATGCCATGAAGAAAAATACAAGATTTCACTTCATTTGATCTCAAACTTTCCTCCATTACTCAACCTGCAGAAATGTAATTTGCTCCACATAATGTGTCACTTTATACCACATTTATAAAAATATTCCTTTAATATATTTTGCGAGATACATAAGAATATATTCCATATACATATATGTTTGTATTTTGCATTAAATCTTCATGGAATAATAATTTATTGTATATTAAAAAAATAACACTTTGCTATTACAATAGTGATAGGTAAATTATAATATAATATTATAATATTGATAGATAGTTTATAGAAAAAATTCGAACAATATTTTCAATAAACGTAATTCTTAACTAATAAATAACAGAATTTATGTTATTTGTCTTGCCCAATGTATGCTACATATTTACAACAAAATACATAATTATAACAAAATTATTAAAAATTTGACATAAATTTAAATGTATAATATAAGGAAGTGAGAAAATATAGTAATATTTTAATATTAATAATAATTTAGAATAATTGTAGATTTAGTTAGTTAAAAATTTATTTTAAGAATGTTTTATAAAATATATCATTTATACCTAAAACTATGTGTTAATTATTTTAAAATTTTAATTTACTGTATAAAATTTACTGTATCATCATAAGTCCATAAAACATGGATAAAGCTCTTTATGATATATACAGTAGTAGAATGATTTCAGTTAGGTACTAGATTTACATTTCGATGTGGAAAATTTGATAATACAGCAATGGATTTCAAAAATTATGTTTGGCGCATTCTCTGCTTGATCAATTTCAAATCGCTTTACTTGATATAGTTCCCCAACTCACCGTTGTTTAAACGTAGAGTGCGCTAAAAAGCCAGTGATTTTTTAATATGTTGGTATTTCAGGTCACGAGCCACGAAAGTCCGTAAGATGCGATGTCTGTTTATATACCTCGTTTGTGCCTTAAAACACGATGCCCCATTTAATGTCCATCTATCCTATTCTTAACCAATGATAGTACAATACCTAACTAAAGCAATATAATAGAATGTAATACAAAAGTGATAATAAGATTCTAAAGTCTCACATATAACAAAACAGAAAACATTACATGTTATTTCTTTTTAAAGGCTCGCCAAAAGTATTCGATTAATATCATAGATCTTACCATGTTATTTGACATAATTGTGATTTTATTTATTAACTGACCTGAATGAATCAATTGCAAATATAAAAACTTGATTAAAGAAAAGAAAAAAAGGAAAAAATGTTATTTCTTATTGTATCTCGTTGTGATATTATTTCAGTTATTAAACCAGTTATTAATTTAATTGTATATACACATATTATTTTGGAATAATTGCTGCGTTCAGTTATTAACAGTTTCAGAATTTTCATTACGATTTCGTTATATATTATAATAACTGTAATATAAATTGTAAATTTCACATTCTTACAACAAAAATTATATTTAAAAATTGGCCTTAAGTTTTGTATTTCTCTTTTCTCTTGTGCTTATATTTAATGGTTGTAGTTTATTCGCTTTTCTGAAACTGTATGTGTAACGTGTGTTTGTAATCTGTCAGCACGCGGACGACTTCCACAATATACATATTCCAATAGCTTTGTAATGGGAGAACGCGAAAGAGCTTGACAGAAACTTATTTTAAGTATATTACAAGTTAAAGAAGATTTTCGACTACGAAAATGAGTACCATACTAGAGAAGATCGCATCGATCGAGGCCGAGGTAACCTCTTTCGTCTCCTTTCGTTTTATGTTCAAGCTTGTTATCTCATTCATTGTAATATAATTTCGTTTATAGATGGCTCGCACTCAGAAAAATAAGGCAACATCAGGCCATTTGGGTTTGCTGAAAGCTAAATTGGCCAAATTGAGACGAGAACTTATTACTCCAAAAGGTGGTGGAGGCGGTGGAGAGCAGGGTTTTGAAGTGGCTAAAACGGGTGATGCTAGAATAGGTTTTGTCGGTACGTATTAAAATCTAGAAATATATCTATATAAAGTTAAAAATAAAGTATAAAGTTTACACATATGCGACAATTAAAGGTTTTCCTTCTGTTGGTAAATCTACGCTATTGAGTACACTTGCTGGAGTCTATTCGGAAGTTGCAGCATATGAATTTACAACTCTTACTACTGTTCCTGGTTGCATAAAATATAAGGGTGCAAAGATACAAGTAACTAATTGTTTATAATTTTTTTGTCATAAATATAATTTTATATTATTTATATTATTTTATATTTTAATATCAGCCATGGATATTTACATATATATGAGAAATTCCAAATATTTACAATAGAAAAAGAAGCATTTAGGATATTTTACGGATTTTAGTTAATTTGTTGCCTAAAAGTAAATCAATTTTAAAATACTATGAATATTTCTTATATTTGTTTATAGTATACAGATAATCGAAAACACAATATTGTAAAAATTTATATACAATTATCACATACACGAGTGAATAAAACTTATTAGTTAATCTCACATAATGAATAGAACTTATTTTAATTATAATTAATAAATCTGATGATTTTTTTTCCAATTTATTTATGTTTCTTAGTAGATAAATGTAAGAAATATTGTCATTTTCTTAAAATCTGTATAAATTTAACTAATAATTAAATTGTGGATTTTTATGCATTTATACAAAATTTGAAGTTGCAAAAATGCAATAATAAAAAAAAACAAAATACACGTTTTGGTATTTATTAAAATATTTGGTAGATTAAATAAATTTATTTAAATTCTATTTAAGTTTATAAAAATACTAATTCACATAAAAATCTGCATTATCCATAAAATATTAAAAATCCAGATATTTCTTTTTAAATATTTTGAATTTAACATTTAAAATGTATGTAAATCTTTGTAACCAACTGTATTACAGTTACTTGATTTGCCTGGTATCATCGAAGGTGCAAAAGATGGTAAAGGACGTGGAAGACAAGTTATTGCAGTTGCAAGAACTTGTAGTTTAATATTTATCGTTCTGGATGTACTGAAACCGCTTGGCCACAAGAGATTAATCGAACACGAACTGGAAGGTTTTGGACTTCGTTTAAACAAACAACCACCGAACATTACTTTCCGCAAGAAGGATAAAGGTGGCATTAATTTTCAAACCACGGTAATTAAGCGACAGAAAGAAGAGCAACAAAGAAAGCTACACGTGATTCGCAATTCGTTTCGATTTTGTGCAGTGTAACTATCTCTTCGTTTATGTTTTGTTATGTTGGACAGAGTCATGCGTAGTTTTTGTAAAATGACTATTGTGTAGAAATCTACACTGGAAATTAAAATGATTGTATTATTATATAGTGTGCACAGTCAGAACTTGACTTAGAAACAGTGAAGAGTATTCTATCTGAATATAGAATTCACAATGCGGATATTACTTTACGATACGATGCCACATCTGATGATCTAATCGACGTCATCGAGGGAAATCGTGTCTACGTACCGTGTATTTATTTGCTCAATAAAATAGGTAATTGTGTAAGGTCGTTTAAAATTCTAGAATAATAGTTCGAATTATTGATGAGAATTTTTTTTTTTTTTTTTTTGTTTGATCTCTAGATCAAATTAGTATCGAGGAACTAGACATCATTTATAAAATACCTCATTGCGTACCGATTTCTGCTCATCACAAGTGGAATTTTGATGACCTCCTTGAAAAAATGTGGGAGTATTTACAGTTGGTTAGAATGTAAGTAGTATTTGAAATGATTGATTTCATTAATTCTTTGATGTATTATCATGTATCCGATTTGGTTCTATTGTTTAGCTATACGAAACCAAAGGGACAATTACCAGACTACAACTCCCCGGTAGTATTGAACAGGGAGAAACGAACGGTCGAAGATTTTTGTAATAAACTACATCGATCTATCGCAAAAGAGTTCAAATAGTATGTATTCACTCTAATCTCATTCGTAATTATCTATTCTCAATTACTAGCACTCTTGTTTATTTATCTCATTTTTAGTGCTCTTGTATGGGGATCGTCCGTCAAACATCAGCCACAAAAGGTTGGGAAAGATCACATATTATGCGACGAGGATGTCGTGCAGATTGTGAAAAAAGTATAATTTTACTTAGTATTTTATTTGATTTTCCCTATGTTAGTAGGGAATAGAACTACTATTAATTATGAAAGAATTTTTATAGTTCATCTTTTGTAATTAAAAGCTTTATTTTATAATTACAATTTTGAGATTCGTTTTATTTTACTCCATGTAAAACTATTTTTATGCGTTAAGCTTAGAAGAAAGATATGCACATGTTAGAAATGTTTGAAAACAAACTACAAATGATTTTTTTAATAAATAAAATCATGTGTAAATTATTGATAATATATAAATCATTTGAGATGATTTTATTTATTTAAAGTCAAGTATGAAATGCATATATACACAAGTAAGATATACATATAATCATATAAATAACATTTTTATTTATAAACTTTTCAAAATATACTCTCTTCGTTGTTGATCCAATAACTTTTCAAGGTGTTGACACTTTAATTTTACATCATGAAGTTCTTTCGTCAAATTTTTTATTGTCAATACTTTTTGAGTTATTATCAATTTAATTCTAGAACGTAGAAACAGAGTTATTTTGTTAATAATAGAAAAGACATTTGTAGTTATTCTTTGAGTAATATACAATACCATATCAGAATGAATTGAAGACGTATTAAACACAATTCATTATTCAAAAAGAAAAAAGGAAAGAAAAATAATATGATATGATATAAGGACTAAGGACATAGAATGTTAGTGAATAGTATTGTATAGAATTGTATCCATTAAAAAGTGAAACAAATCTCTATTTAGGTTTCATTTTTTTATACGTGTAATGAATCTCCATAATATCTCATATATTTGACAGCGGAGATATTAAATGAAAAAAGATTGAGTGACATTTAATCTCAAACAAAAACTAAGAAAGCTTCCAAATCCACGAAGAAAGTTTAAAGATACAATATAAGAATCAAGAACGCTTGATGTTACGAAGTATGTTAATATTATGTTGAATCATGCCTCGTACTGGAGATACTTCATAAAAATTATATAGAAAAAGAAAGAAAGATATTCAATTTCTGCTATAAACAATCTGCCAAAATCCTGATATGAATATCAAACACATCTGGGGGTATTTGAAACAAAAATTAGGGAAATATTCAAATCCATCAACAAATAAAGTTTGTGTTTGGAACGAGTCGTTCAAAAATTGTGCTTAACACAGTTCAAGAATAATATAGAGTAAAAGAGTTAAACACTGATTATCAGAATATATGAAATATTTTCTACTTGTCAATTTTTTCTATAAGTTTGATAAAATGAATGTTTTATTCTGATACGGCATGTAATTTGTAATCGTCGAACTGATTAAATCAAACCTGCTGTGCAACTGAGCCATCGAGGTGTCTCTGTTTACATTAATACGAGTTATTTCTTGATAAAGCGAGGCAATTTTTTCCTCCAATTCTCTTTTTTCCTGTTCGATCTCTTGTCTTGCCAATTTCTTCGAGTTATTTCTTTCCATACTTAACCGTTTGATCACCTAAAGATATTTATCATTCGAAATATAATTGATAATTGCTCTTTATAATTGATGATGATTGATTGCTCTTTGAAATACTTTACTTCGTTTGCATTATTCAACTCAGATACATATTCTTGCAACTTGCTCTCTGCTTGTTGTAATTGAATTTCAGTTTTCTCCAGCTTATCTTTCGTTTGAATTAATTTAGTTTTCTGAAGCTGTTCGTTGTCTATCGTTGTTTGTAAATCTATTTCATACTTGTCTCTCAGAGATCTGAAAAACAATGGAACTTTGTTTACATCATTAGAAGATACATATTTTGCGTTGCAATAATTATTAATTCTTGTAAAATTTTATGTATCTTATTTTTTTTCCAAAATTAATTTTTTTTTTAAATTGGAGGTGATGGAGAGAAGCAATTTTCATATTTGTATTTGACGCACGAAATTCTACAAGAATTGAATGTTGAAAAGTTAATCCTTAATATTATAATTTTTTTTTATTTTACTTACAAAAATTTCTTGATTTCTATTAATATTTTTGTTCATGTTTTATCAAAGAAATAAGCAAATAATTCCTAGTATAGCAATTTTTTACAAATGAAAAAATGTGAATGTAATATGTTCTTCAATGTTATATAGATCATTATATTCATAACAAATTATATTCACAATATAAGGGAGAGAAAAGGAATTAATTGTAGTTTTAAAAAAAGAACTTTTTTTTATTAATCTCTAAATAGAACATTTTTTAATTAAAATGAAACAAAAAATTGCGAAAATTTTTCATTTGGGGAAACTAGAAAAAAATATAAAAAAAGCATTGCTGCACAGTGATTTCAATTCGTGTAACATTAGATCATGATACTAAGAATTGAATTATCGGAGAGTGGAGTTAGAAATATATTATTATTGTTCATGTATTTAAATATTGTTACTGAGATACGTGTATATTAACATTTATGTATATTTTATGTAATTATTATTGTACTTATATAGCAAGAATATTAGATACTTATGATCATTATTTCTGAAACAAACAACTTTTTATATCAAGTTACTAGAAAAAGTTAATGATAATTAAATCTTGTTAACTCTGTTATTTAAATCTGAAACTATATTGTTTTGTACCGTTATCTATAATTTATCTACTTGTATATAATTTTTTAATGTGTATTGTATATTTGTTCAATGATATTGTTATCTACATTATCATATATTTTTTTCAGAAATTACTTGCATAAATATATTTACATCTTCGGATATCTTCTTATTAATAAATAATGCTATATGTATAATATTAATAATTAATACTATATGTATAATAAGAACCAATAACATGACAGTTAGCAATCGATGACCTGTAATGTCAGGTAATTTTCAAAGATTTTAAATTTTTAACAAAAGTCGATTCTTTGTAAAAGTCGCTCCAAGAAATAACAAATCATTATAACGTTAATAATAACAAAATTGGAGTATTCGCAAAAATTACCAAAATTTAAAAGGTTATTATCGAACGAAAAGTATATAACAAACTAAGAATATAGTCATTTTAAATTTATAATACTTATATATACATCTCTCCTCGTCAATACAAAATTGAAAAGTATTATCGAATTTTATCAATTTTGTGGAATTTTTCACACACAGTTTTGATTTTTGTAATCCACTCGTTTCGTGTAAATACTTCTCCATGGTAAATTTTTGCTTCTGAAGGTAATGAATATTTCTCCATAAGTAGAAATCTGAAGATGTAAATAGAAATCTGATGATCTAGATCAAGAGATTAGTTCTTTACGACTAATCGGTCATTGAAATTATTCGTATCGATTTATCGTTTGTCCTATTTTTATTATAACTTTTTAATGAAGTTTTTTGGAACATAATATTTTAGTGTTTTTTTTACCTGTAGAACATATTGGCAAAATTTTAACACTAAATTTCGAAACATGTCAATTGCATATTAATTCTTGTATATTTTTTGGCTATATCGTACAACGATAGACATGTTCATTTTTTACACTTCGCGTCAAAAATGTAGCACACTATATAACTTTTGAAACAATATATTGCATTGTTTTATATGTTTGTAGTGTATCATAATAATAACAAATTATATAAGTACATTTCAAAATATTTTACGAAAAGAATAAATTTTATTTTACAATATCGAAAAATAATGAAAAATCGATGCGTCAAAAAGATAGCACATTTCTCTTAAACGACTTATTATCTATAGAAATATATTAAAATTTTAATATTTTGTTGCTCCATCTTTTGCTTGTATTACTGCTAATAAACGGTTTGGTAAGGATTCAAATAATTTTTTAACAAATTTTTGGCTTAAAGATCTCCAGTTTTGCTCGATGCAATTTTTTAATTCCTGAACGGTCTGAAATTGTCTTCTCTTAGCATATACTGATCTCGATAATTGTGCCCAACAATTCTCGATGATGTTTGAATCTGATGATCTGGCTGGCCATTGTAAGATTTGAATATTTTTCTGTGTAAAGTACTGTTTCACAATCCTTGCCGTATGGACACTTGAATTATCTTGTGCCCGTACGGGGCACAAAATGAAGTTTGTGCCCGCAATTTTTACTGCATGTTTTTCCAACTGTTCATTTAAATATAATTTGAACTTTTCATTTTTCCACTTACAAACTTAATTTCTGTGTTTCCATAATATCCAATTACAGCCTACACCATTACTCCTCCACCACCTGCTTGTCGATGACTTAAAATCTGTGGTTCTTTGCGCAAATCATGAAAATAAGATCGATATCCATCTAATGTAAATCTCTTTTCATCGCTGAAAATTACTTTTCGCCATTTTTTCATCCAGCGGATAAATTTTTCAGCAAATTGTAAACGTGTTTCTTTATGCTGCTTCGTTAGCGGTGATTTACGCATCAATTTTTTGCGTTGTATATACTCACATTCTTTTATAATACGTTGCACATTACGTACTTTAGTATTTACGTTAGCTTCTGCTGCAATTTCTTTTGCAGTA